TTTTCTAAACTTATCGTGACATTTACAAAACGTCATGAAAAGGTGAGGCTTTTCATGAATTTTTTTAACATCACGATAAGTTGGAAAGCTACATTTTTAGTGATGTTTATAAAACGTCACGGAATGGTGTGCCTACTTCGCTAGAAATTTTCCTTTTCGTGATGTTTAAAAAACGTTATGAAATGGTGAAGCAATATTTTTTGCGGAAAAACATGAAGATTAACGAATTTACTGTCATTTGTGACATTTTTTAAATGTTATGAAATGGTGAGCCATGTTTTTTAGCAAGAAAATGTATCTCTATTTGTGCTCACGATTTTTTTTCATAATTATGACACGAAAAGTGAATATGTAATTTTAAAATTTGTAATCTATTTTTAAAATGTTGTAAAATATTGAACTAGAGTGAAACAACACATATTTACAGATGCATGATTTTTGGTATTTTTTTGATGATTTTTTAACGTTAGGAAAAGATCATAAAATTTCGAGATTTCATGAAACTTAAATCGTCACGAAAGGTTTCACACGTTTGTTTTCCATTTCGATCTTTCTGTTTGTAGATGAGGTGAGCTTTAATTTTCTTATGTCGTGGTTATGAATTTTCGTTGGTTTGTTTAACTTCAAATGATTTTCATAAATTTAAGTCAGAATATTATTTAAATATGAACTCCCAAACAATTGCAAATTTTACTTTTTACTTTATCATTTTATCTATATATTTTGATACCAAAATTGTTCATATATTTTTTTTCTTCCAACCAAAAAGATTTAATTAATGCTTACGAATTGCAAATCTTGGAAAAAATAAAATAGAAATTTTGGTTGGAATTTGTAAATTACGAATTGAAAATCCTTACTTATGTAATTATTTAATAAATATCTTGGTTACCTTACCTGAAACCTCTGGAAAGTTATTCTAAATATAATAATTGAATTTAGTTTTTGATTATTGATTATACTGTTGGTCTTGTCAGACTCGAATCTGATTCTCATTTTCATAAAATATTAGAATTATAGACTAGTCACAATGAAGAAGTCCTTTTGGCATTTTATGAGATGTATTTATTGGAAGTGAAGGGCAATGAGTTCACTCCCCATAATGTTTTAAAAGCATGTTCTTTGATGAGTAACTTGGAATTGGGGAACCAAATTCATGGAATTATTTTAGTTACTGATTTTGAGTTTGATATATATGTTGCTAGCAATTTGGTCGTTATGTATGCAAAATGTGGAGAGTTTGGTGAAGTATATATTTCTTTCATTTCATTAATCCTCCTATGCAAAATATTGGTTTACTTACTGCAGTCCATTAAGAATATTGCTCTTTGTAACTTGCTTATCATTGCATTATATGATAGGAACCGGTAATAAAAATTCCAAGTTTGGCATTACAAATGAGAAGTTGTAAGGTTTATTTATGTTGTCATGGTGCATCCCGATGAGCTTAAACTTGTTGTGGCCATTTCTATCTCAAATCCACTATAACAAATGTAAGCTATTAATTATTGTGGTCATTTTTCATAATGTAACATTGAAATCTTAAGTAAATTTGACTATTCTACTTCCTTCCCTTATATATTTATGTTGTCAGGTTTCTTTACGTTGTCAGGGCGAGCTTAAGCTTGTTATGACCATTTCTATCTTAAATCCACTATAACAAAGTAAGCTATTAACTGCTGTGGTTATTTTTCATATTGTAACATCGAAATTTTAAATAAATTTGACTATTCTACTATCTTCTCTTATACACTACTAGAAATTCGGTCTACCGTGACGTTTTTTTGGAGTCACAAAAATCTTTCGTGATGTTATTATTGGCGTCACTATACGCCCATCACGAAAGGTATACGAGACATTTAAAAAACGTCACCAAAATTGGTACACGTGCGGTTAATTAGCGTCACGAAAGACATGGACTTCCACGACGTTCATAAACCATCATGAAAAATGATTTCGTGACGGTTAGAGAATGTCACGGAAAGACCTTGAAAAGGGGAGGAGAGGTCACGTGACATTCTTTCGTGACGGTGTTTAAACGTCACAAAATTGTATTTCGTGACGGTATTTACACGTCACGAAAAGTGAATTTCGT